ATTTTTTTCAATTCAATTCTTCTTTATTTGTTTAGCGCTTTTACAATTTAGTGTTTTGAATTGAATGTGAATTGTGTCAAATCAGCCTCACATAGAAGATTATAGTGAACTGAAAGTGTCAGTTTAGTTTTCAGAGTTTAAGGTCGGTTTAGTTCAGTTCAGTTTTGTTCACTTCAGTGTGGTTTATTCACTGCTGAGAGTCCAAAAACTAAAGAGCAAATCCATAGATGCGCAGCTCTAAAAGTCCGGAACTATGCAAGCCAGTGGCGACAGCGGCAAGGAAAAAACTTCACCAATTGGCGAATGTAAAGGATAAAAACCTCGAGAGAAATCAGGCTCTGTTGCGCATGACCATTTCTCCTTTGGCCAAACGTCTTGTGCATGAATGTCTACGTTTATGAACGTATTGAATATTACTGTACTTTTGCAATCACTGAATTTAACGCAACATTAAGCAAATGTCACATAATACGCTTATGTTTCTCTCAAACTCGTGCATACACCTTAAGTTACACTTAATACTTTACAAAAATCAATGGTTCTTGAGGTCAAGCAGTTGATAAAGAATTAAGATATATAAATTTGTGCATGTTTTCTTCTTTTTTTTGTGGAGACACTGATAAAAAGAGAAAATAATCACGACAATAAACAAATTGAAGTGCTCAGACATGCTTGTGATTTACTAATATTACAATAAAAAACCAAACATAGTGTTGTTTTTATGATGGATAAAATAAAGCGCAAAGCCAGACCTACTTTGCACTCACTTTGTACTGTGTAAACAAATCGATTTAGTGCAACTTTAGAAATGTTTTTAGCCCATCTGCCTCAAGGTTGGACGTGTTGTGTGTTCAGAGATGCTCTTCTGCATTTCTCAGTTATAACGAGTGGTTATTTGAGTTACTGTTGCCTTTCTATCAGCTCGACCCTGTCTGACCATATTCCTCCGACTTCTGGTATCAACAAGGCAGTTCTGCGCCCACAGAACTGCCGCTCACTGCATATTTCTTTTTCAGACCATTTTCTGTAAACCCTAGAGATTGTTATGCGTGAAAATCCCTGTAGATCAGCAGTTTCTGAAATAGCCCGTCTGGCACCAACAACCATGCCATGTTTAAAGTCTCCTAAATCCCCTTTTTCCCCCATTTTGATGCTCTGTTTGAACTGCAGCAGATCGCCTTGACCGTGTCTACATGCCTAAATGCATTGAGTTGTTGCCTTGTAATTGGCTGATAAAAAAATGTGCGTTAACAAGCAGTTACACAGGTGTACTTAATAAAGTTGTCCAATCTTGAAACACAACTTATAATTTGAAGCGTAGGCCTAATATGTGGAAAAAGGTTTCAGCTAAGTTTAACACAGGCCTGGAAAACAGCACCTCTGCAGGATGACGTCATATTGCGCTTTATATTCTGCATCGGTTGGCTTTTTAAACTCTGTAACTCGAGTCGCTGAGATTTCTTATCTGCACCGTGCCCTTGAACATGGCTTTTTACTCCTGGGACCACCTGAGCGATTGTACTGTAAATCACCTTAGATAAAAGCATCCGTGAAAAGTGTAAAAGCCTGTTCTTGGATTTTGAGTTCTTGTCTGCAGATTGTGGGTGTGTTGTTTGTGTTTGGGTAGGAAGAAAGCACATTTGCTTGCACAGTAGATTGTGCGTGCACTCATTTCCCCACAGACTACTTTCTTTTGAACCTGCAAATACAGTGGATTCACAGGTCCAAGGTTCTTTCGTGAACTATGCGTACTGTATGTGTTGACTGAGTCCATATCAGTAGTTTCACAGAAGGAAGGAGATTGCAGAATTTGATGGTTCAACAGAAACCACAATGGAGAGAAAGGAAAAGGCAATGCTAAAATAGTGTTTGTTTGCCCCTAAAGGCCAGTTAGAAAGGGAAGTTCAAGGTACAAAGCTGTGCTATCGTTATTACATGAACACGTTGACAAATTACATGTGACTGAGCGTTTTTTGCAGATAAACACATGATTACATTTGGAAAGTACTGGTAAATGTAGTAAATACCCTTGTTGACATTAAAGAAAGACTTTTTAAACATGAATCAACATGAACAGTGATGTCTATAGGTGTCTCGTAAACAAAACTAAGTGTCTACTAGTATTTCCCTTGCATTTTGAGTGCTGCTGATTGAAATGTTGCTTATTGGCCATTGTGTTTACATGCTAAACAGACTTTAAATGCTCCATTGTTTGTGTTTCTTCATAAGGATTTGGCGAAGAGTGTCACGCATTGATCATTGTAGCCAATCACAGTCATATCTTTATGCGCATACACACAATGGCTAATCAGCTGTGTTTAGGAACCCGCTCAACAGCACTCAAACTGTTAGCGTAAAATGGACACTTTTACCAATTGGTAATTTTGTTAATAAAATAAAATCAATAAACAAAAGGTACTGTAACGCCATTAAAATTTACGTTAATAGCTCTTAAATGTGTAAATTGTAATTTTTTTTAAATTCGCAGTCAAATAACATCTGTCAAAAATGTTTCTGAATTTGTACATATTAAATTGTTCAACTCAAGACTAACGATGTGCACTAACAAAATAAACAGTACATTTTGATTTCATACAGACTTCTGGTCAAGCGTACGTTAATGCTCAGCGTTTAAGATTTTGTTTGTTGTCTGTATATAGACCATTTTGAGGAATGTAAACAAAAACAATGGTCTCAACATATTTCCTGTTTTACATATTTAATTTCTGTAGCTTCTGAGAATCCAAAAACAGCCACATAATGATAAATAATGATATGATACTGTTTTTTTTAATGCGCATTTTCAAAATTTATTTGCATCTTGCTGTTTCCATCAACCGTTTTTTATTTATTTATTCACATATCCAAAACGCACATACTCTATTAAAATAGTTGGGTTAAAAATACCCCAACATATATAACCCAACTATAGGTTATTATAGCACCTTCCCAACTATGGGATATTTTAACCCAATACATTGGATTATTTTGATTAAATGTTGTTTTTTCCATTGTGGTATATTGCTATAACTAGTACTACTAATAATAATATTTATTAATTATTAATTAAGCTGTTTTAATGTTAAATTATGATTGAATCGCCTCTTGTCACAGTTATGAAATAGTTTGTTAACAAGCAGGAAAAGTTCATGGGCTATGGCCAATAACATGAACACATTGAAATGGTCTACAGTATATTGAGTTTTTTTTTTTGCAGTGCAAATTGGCATCAAAATTTATTTGAAGGCCATTTAGATGCACTTGGCACAATTTGGGTGTTTGGTGTTAATTTCTCACTCTGTTAATTTGCCTTGTTAACTAGATTATTGATCTCTCTCTCTCGGGCCAAGCGCTCCGTGTGCTGAAGCTTGTTGATTTTCCAATGATTGTGTGGTATTCAGTCCAAAAAGCAGATAGCGGTATATATATTGCTCTACAAGTTTGTTTAAATTAATGAACGAAATGCACTGTAAACCAATCAGATTATAGGCATGACTTGGGTTTATTTGGGGACTACAGTTGAAGTTTAACTTTTTAAGATTCTTAGAGCAAGTTGTGAATCGTTCCTACACAATTAAACAAGTAAAACTGATAATTTCTATTAAAAAGGTAAATAATTCTGATCGCTTTCTGCGGTTAAGCACCTATGTGCTGCAGAACATTGATTTTCTATTGTTTGGTATTCAGTCTGAAAGGCACTATCATGCACAGTCAAACAACAGATTTAAACCAATCAGAGCTTAATTTGGAGCAAAATCCAGACCTTAATTACTTTTTTAAATGCAGTTTCAGCATGATGTGTTTTTATTTGGGGAATGCAGATGAAATGTAGCTTTAAAGTAAGATTCAAGCCTTTCAGAATCTTGCAGGGACATTTAGTTTGATACTTGCAGCCTAAAATGACTATTTTGTAATGGTTTTCTCAAAACATAAGGCATTAAATGCTTAAATTCTTGTGTTTTGCTGCAAAAGTGCTCAAATCTTGTGAAGTGAAAATTTAGAAAGATTTTAGACATTATTTGGCGTTTTTTTTTTTTTTTTTTTGAGGACTGCAGTGGAAATTACTATATACATTTATTATATTTAGGTACAGCTTTTGGTAGTATCACTAGTATTATAGTCTTTAATGTAATAGTTCACCCCAAAATTGAAATTTGGCCATCATTTACCCACCCTTCACTCATTTTAAACCTTTATGAATCCCTTTATTTTATTAAACACAAAAGAAGACATTTTGAAAAGTTGGTAACCTGAAACCATTAACCTCCATAGTATTTCTTTTTCCTACTATGGAAGTCAATGGTTACAGGTTTACAGCGTTCTTCAAAGTCACTTATTTAGTGTTCAACAGAAGAAACTCATAACAGTTTGGAACCACTCAAGGATGAATAAATAGTGTTTTTTTTTTCTTTTTTTGTGTTAACTATCCCTTTAAGTTTATATATTGGGCTATTTTTATGAAACATTCCCTCCTCTAATCTGCGTAAATGGGATTTTTTACATAGGAATGACTTGACTACCAAATTACAGACAAATTAGTTTGGCTTGCACTTAATGTTAAGGTTAAATCTCCTAGAAAACATCTACGCAAAACCCATGACTTTCCTAACATAATTTTACATTTAAATTGACATTTTCCTCCTACATATTTTTTTTTCAGTTCAAACGAGGCTACACTGTAAAAAAAAAAAAAAAAAAAAAAAAAAAGTTTATTTATAAACTTATATTTGTTTATAAACTTAAACATTTTAGTCCGTTTGATTGATATAGGTTGAGATGATTAGGAAAGTTCATTTGACTAACCAAAAAAAAATACACAGATTTTGAAACCAATTGAATTCTTTGTAATCGTGATACGGATTTTAGGCCTAACACTGAGCCAATATCATCAATTCTCTATGCAAATGCCAGCATGCTGAACAAGATTCAGCTGTTGTTTGTCGAGTTTTAGGACTGTTTGTTCTAAATATGTCCTTTTTTTTCTTTCTGTTTGCGTGCAGATTTGCTAAACGGAGCGCAGGAAAAATGTGAACTGCCCTCGCTTGACGGGTTTCCACATTGTGAAGGCAAGATAAAGGTGAGCGCTTCTCTTGTTCTGTCTGAAATTTGTCAGCGTCACTCTTTCATGACTTTGAACTGTGACTTGTTTAACATCTGTTTAGAAACCAGTTTCGTCTTCAATCCAGATAGATAGATTTTTTTAATTAAAGGCCCTCCGCGGGACGTTCCCTTTGTGAACATTAACGGCGAGATATTGATCTGTTTTGAGACATATTTGAAAGCTTTAAATGCTTTTGAGTTATTAATGAGCAGAGCTCTTGTGTTGCTGCTAAAGCTTAAAAGAAGGAAGCGCTGTGGGGAAAATTAGTGGATTTAATTTTAGATTGTTAACCTGGCAAAATTACTAGCTGAAATAAGAGGAAAGGGTGTTTATTTATGCATTTGAAATGCTCAGCAATTTAACACATCTATATTATACACTACCTGACAAAAGTCTTGTTGTTAATCCCAGTTGTAAGAGCAACAAATAATAACTTGACTTCTAGTTGATCATTTGGGAAAGTGGCAGAGGGTCGATTTTTTCAGACAAATTATCTGTTGAGCTGCATCCCAATGAACAAATACTGCAAAAGACCTATTGGAACCCACATGGACCCAAGATTCTCATAGAAATCAGTCAAGTTTGGTGAAGGAAAAATCATGGTTTGGGGTTAAATTCAGTATGGGGGTGTGCGAGAGATCTGCAGAGTGGATGGCAACATCAACAGCCTGAGGTATCAAGACATTTGTGCTGCCCATTACATTACGAACCACAGGAGAGGGCAAATTCTTCAGCAGGATAGCGCTCCTTCTCATACTTCAGCCTCCACATCAAAGTTTTTCTCTAGAGGCCTTCGCCTTGCCTATAAGCCACTTTTGATACCAAATGATCTACTAGAAGTAAAGTTATTTGTTGTTCCTTAAACTTGGAAAGACGACATCTTTTGTCAGGTTGTGTTCATGATAAATGTATGATGAAAGTAACTATCCCTTTATTTATATATATATATATATATATATATATATATATATATATATATATATATATATATATATATATATATATATATATATGTGTATATATATGTGTATATATGTTTAAATACAATCCTTCCAACCTCCTTGCACAATTTATGTCAGCAAACAAATATCTGAAATATAATGAAATTATTCAGTATAAATAAATCAAATACACTTCAATATAATATATAATCAGTGTTGGATAACTAAGAAAGGTATTAATTGCTAATTATTAATTACATGACTAATATTGTGTCAAATTACTTATCTAATTACTTTGTTTGAAAGTGACTTGGTTCTTCTGTAAGTCATTTAGTTACTTGACTAAAAATGAAGAATCCCAATAAATCTTACCCCTTAAACAATAGAAAATGAACATTTCAGTTTTAAATTCTAAATATTATATGTACAAAAACTATATATATATATATATATATATATATATATATATATATATATATATATATATATATATATATATATATATAAACTGTTAATCATTGACTTAGGGCTGCCCAATATTTTGTTTCAGCATCGAAATCTGCAATAGTCACATTGCAGGATATGCAATGTGGAGTTGAGATTGTAGATGATCAGCACAACAGTTGAGAATACATGATATTTATGGAGTCATTACAAAGTACAACCATAACAGATGTAACAATCTTTATCATTTGCATGTGCTTTAAAGGCATTTCAAGAGAGTTTAAAGCATTCTGGCAAAAATAAAGAACATTTGTAACTTTAGTGAATAATAATTTCACTGAATTAGTACAGTGAAGACTAAACAAGGTTATTTTGTTTCATTACCTCGCTAGCTGGCCTCCATTACACTCACCCCCCTAATCCTCACTCCCATCCTGGACGAGCCCCCATATATTTTACAAGGAGGCTGGTGAGTGTAACAGAGGCCAGCAAGCAAAGTGCTATGCAGGTAAACCTCACTCCTCTGACCTCAAAAGGTGCTCTAGGGACAGACGGTAGAGGCCATGGTCTTTAGCCTCCGTGTTAGAGCAGCCGACTCCCATGCAAAGAATTGCCGGTTCAATCCCAGCTCAGACTGGGTTGGGTGCAGAAGGACCGATGGGTTACAATACATTAAATTTAAATACATCAATTAGATCACTTATTCTTTATACATTTCAATAAGTACTGGTTGGAGTATGCATGTATTTCTTTACTTAAAGTTTGCATAAATATATCTGCTACACAGAATGATGATTTCTTCCATAGCATACATTTTACAGAGATATGCCTTTTCTTAGTGTGCTTTAAAAGTGTACTCTTCTGATTTAGCCTCAGACGTTTCTCAGATTGTGTTTTCCTCTTCAAATCCCTCAAAGTAGTGGAGTATTACCATGTGATGCTTTTTCCTTCCTGGAAAGCCACTTTTCATAATGACCTCACCTGATACTCAGAAACGAGCCTCTTTTGAATTATTTTTACAGCATCTTGATGTAGCAGCCAGACAGAGCCAATTAAACATCAAGCAGATCTAGCCGGCCAATCACGTTGGCCTTTTTCTCGATAATCACACGTCCTTTAGCTCATGGAAATTCCTGCAATGTGGAAATCCTCTTAAAGTCGTGCTGAATTCTGACAGAAAGTGATTATAATAACAGTGAGAACAGCCTAACAAATTAGTTTGACTTGAGTTTGTAAGCTTAGAAGGGCTGCAAGGACGTTTTGTTGATCCGTTTAAGCTGAAGCACAAACAGCAAAACAAACGAAAAAGGGTGTGATCGAGATAACATGTCTTTAAAGGTTTAGTTTTAAGGTCAACATTCAAATGATGCCTTTGTAAACTGTTTGGTAAAGCCAATTGTTAAACCCGTAAGTCGGCTTTTTGACATTTTGTTTGACTTGCTAATTTTTCGTACATATCCGAGCCTTGTGGGGACGTTTAAAGAAAAAACAAACATACATGTGTACACAACATGTATTACACAAACTCATATTTTCCACTTTTTTTAATCAAATTAAGTGTAAAATGCTTTTATTTTTGTACAGATGTGTGATGTTTCAGCTTTTTAATAAAGCGCTGAGTCGTTAAGAACAAGTAGACTGACGTACAATTGGATGTTTTCTCCTTTTTGGTATAGACACAAGTGCAGACACGATAAATACTGAATTGGACAATACAGTTTTTGTAGGAAAAATAAGTTGTAGAAAAAAAAAAACTTATTTACTTACTGATTTGTTAAAATTTGACATTTGTCAGAAATTTTGATTGAGAAACTATTCTATTATAACATGCTGTAAGTTCCCCTTTTTAGGTTGAAGCAAAAGAGCACTCTTTTAATGCATCCGTTTATATGCCAATTAGCTACTCCCGTCCCCTTCCAGAAGAGGGAGGAGGCTCTACTGCTTGTGCCTTGTATACTCCAGAAACTAATAATAATAAGTGATGGCAAAACAGGTGCTTTTGCTCTCATTTTAAGATTATAAGGCTGAACAGCATGAAATGTCATCAGTCTACAAAGATTTCTCAGTATTTCTCTGTTGCAATCAGGATATCATGATAATTAACCCTGAAAAAGCCAAATCAAAGCAAACACTACCAGATTACTATGGTATAAATACAGTTTTTCTCCCCCAAGCACTACTTATACGATCTCTGTCGCCATCTTGTGACGGAACGTCAACCCTCTTTGCTCTGCTCAGTGACAGGCCAATGGCTGCCAATGCACAATCTCCAAAATTATGCACATTTAAAATAGGCACTATCCTTATAAATAAACGGCATAGTTGCTATGTAAATAACTACATTTTCACCTAAAAAATGCCTCAAAGGTACATTTTTGTCCAACAGCAGTAATGTTTGTCAAACTGTAGTGAGTTTATTCATCTGCTGTCAATGAGTAATGTGGGCAGAGTAATACAGAAGGGTGAAGAGGCTGTACAAGTGCTGATATTATAGAATATCACTCAGCTATCAGCCAATCAGATTTGAGAACTAGACAAAACTGTTGTATAAATAAACATAATTTTACTTTTAAAGTTTAATTATACTTTTAAATTCTACAAAAACTATGTCGAATATTCTTTACATGTATCTGAGCCTTTTGTCAAGTGCTGACTAGTTAAAAATGCATTTTTTCTCAGAAACCCAGATTGGCAAGCTACTCTTTTATTGCATGTTATAAGTGTCCGCACTGTTTTTGCCTTGGACACTCAGGCAACGAAAAAAAAAAACACTGCATGCTTTTTATAGTCTTATCTTTAAAAGTCTTAATATAATTTCTTGATAAACATAGTTTTATACTTTTTTACAGTGTTTTTCCTATTAAAACCCTTTAAAATATGTTTACATAAATCTTTCTCAAACTCAAATCAATGAGCATCTCTCATTATTATCATGCTGTAAATACCCCTTTTTACAAACTATTTTCATGTATCTTTAAATGCAAATAATTTGCTACCCCTTTTCTTCCAGGCTTATGCCTCGAATACTCCAGAAACCACTAATAAACATTGCGTTCATTTCATTCTTGTCATTTTAATCTCTTAATATTTAAATACACTCGTGTGTGTGTGTGTGTGTGTGTGTGTGTGTGTGTGTGTGTGTGTGTGTGTGTGTGTGTGTGTGTGTGTGTGTGTGTGTGTGTGTGTGTGTGTGTGTGTGTGTGTGTGTGTGTGTGTGTGTGTGTGTGTGTGTGTGTGTGTGTGTGTGTATATATATGTATATATATGTATATATATGTATATATATGTATGTATATATATATATATATATATATATATATATATATATATATATACTGTATATATATATATATATTTATAAATATATTTATTTTATATATATATATATATATATATATATATATTTATTTATATACATTTATTTATATATATATATATATATATATATATATAGTTTTTATTATTATTATTTTTTAATTCCCTCAAAAACCATGTAATAAAACTCCGATTTTTATTATTATTATTTTTTTTTTGTGAAGTTGCTGAATGGTTTAAATAGATTTTTTTTCCCTGAACTTTGGATTCGTGTTTAGGTAGAAGCAAAAAATGCATTGTTTTTATGTGCCTCTTTATATGCAAATTAAATGCTTCAGCCCTGTAAAGTGAATCTTTAAAGCTTGTGCCTCAGATACTCTAGAAACATTTTATAGTCTTGTCATTCTTGAAATTATAATGGGCTGATTCGTAGAAAAGCTGAATTAAGATCAGGTGTAGGGACGAATAGTTTGCGCTCTTTTTTTTTTTTTTTTTTTTTTTTTTTTTTTTTTAATTAATTTTTTATTAATCGTGCAGCCCTAGTTACTTTATATGCAAATGAGCTGCTTCCGCCATCTTCCAGAAGTGAGCAGAGCTGTTTTGGATATATAGTCTATATAGTTTTATACTGTTTTCCCCAGAAAAACGGTGTAAAACATTGTGCATATTCATCTGAGCTGTTTTTCATCAAGTGCTGACTGGTTAATGTTTTTTTTTTTTTTTTCAGAAACTTGAATTGATAAGCAACTCTTTTCATTTTTATCGTTCTTTAAGTTTTCATTTTTAAATAGAAGCAAAAAAAAAAAACATTGTTTTCATGTGCTTCTTTATATGCAAATGAGATGCTCCCGCCCTTTTTTCAAGAAGAGTATGGCGTCTTTACAGCTTGTGCCTCAGATACTCCAGAAACAACAAATAAAACACCCATACATTTTATAGTCTTATCTTTAAGATCTCTTGATGCAATCTCTTGATTAATAAATGTAATCTTATACTTTTTTAGCCACAAAAACTATACTTCATAAACATCTAAGCTGTTTGTCGTCAAGTGCTGACCGGTTAAAAAGCGCACAGAAGCGCAGATCAATGAGTGCGATCTGAACCACCCGCCACAATCAATAAACCCCTCTCCATCCTAGAGCGAGTGTTATTGTGAGAAGAAATCAGATACAGGAAGAGGAAGCTGGCATGTTTTTGAAGGTCAAGCTGATCTAAGAACTTCTAAAATATCCTGTGAAACTCACAGATTTGACAGGATTTAAAACTGCGCTCTCGATTCACGGCTTCCTGTCTGTGCTTGATATTTTTGTGTGTGTGTGTGTGTGTGTGTGGGTTGGTGTTCCTGAAGTTTGATGTCTGTCCTAACACTTTTTGATTTTCATGCGATTTTAACAAATGTTTTTGTCCCTCATTTTCAGTGGATGAAGGACATGTGGCGTTCGGACCCCTGCTACGGCAACTATGGTGTGGATGGGTCCACCTGCTCATTCTTCATTTATTTGAGCGAGGTAAGACGGCACCACAGTGTTTGACTAATGATCACAGGTCTGTGCTGAAAACTCACGCAATGTAGCTTTCACCCAGGGTTATTATAGTTAATTATTACACCGCACTCTGGAATACTTGATTCTGATTGGTCCATCACAACATTATAAAATGTTATTACCTGATTTGCAATCAAAGACTATATGTGCTATTTAATATCAAGCGTCTTTCTGCAATTCTAAGAACTCTTCCTTAGATTTAGTAGCATGTTTTACATTTCTTTTTCTCTCCAAGTGAATACTCAATATTCAGGTCTGTACTCTGTGGAGGCCATTTCATGACTGTCTTTCCTATTTTTCAGCTGTTTTTTTCTCTCCAAATATGATTTCATTATATAAGCAGTGTGTTTGGGAACATTATCATACTGAAAAATACAATTATTACAAATTAAGTGCTTTCTAATAGGAATTAGATGATGAATTAAAACCTCTCTGTACTTTTTAGCATTCACAATCCCATCAATTCAGGCAACATTGACAACAGCTCTGGCAGAAATGCAGATCAAACCAAGATAGAAAGTATTTTTAATCCATTCTTCCATCTTTCTCTATCTCTAGACCCCCAAAAGTTCATATTTTATTATTGTATTTTAGTCAAAAAATGAGAAAGGAACATAATGTCATTATACCCTTATTAAAACAACAAATTTCACTGGGGGCCTAAGACTTATGTGCAGTACTGTATATTCACTAACCTTCAAGGTGATTTATTGATTCGTAGTTCCCTCCAAAAATATTCAAAGGCTTTGATTTCCATAAACCGCGCGTACGTGAATGTGTCCGACTGTTCTGATTGGCTAAAGTAGCTGTCTCACATCAGCACGCTGTTTCCGGCAATTTTCCTTCTGCGTTCACACAGCGCAGCATTCCGGCAAATTACCGGTAATGTTACAACTTATCTTTCCGAAAAATAGCTGGAACGAATTTACCAGTATTTTCAAAAAGGGCCTTTTCACACATACAGACCTTTCCGGAAAATTACCGGTAATTTTCCTGAAAGGTCTGTATGTGTGAAAGGGGCTATAGACAAGCGTTGAATCCAGTATTCACACTCTATAGCATTCAGAATCTACATCTACCATTATCAAGTAGGGGAGTTCTCAAGACGGCTTCAGTATCTCACGAGTATATTCTCAAGATGGCTTGAGTATATCCCCGGGCTTGAGTATCTCACGAGCTCAGGGCTCTTTCCCGGTTCAGCTTGCCAAACACGCTTCATAATCAATCATCAGCTAAGAGCAAACTCTTGAAAATAACGTTTATTTATCCACAACAGCCCAAAGCAAAAAAGGTGACCGTATTTAATGGTGTCCGAAGAGTTCAGAACCTTCAGTATGTTCTCCCAGAATTTCACAGGCTTGTCCAAATGTTTTGGAGCAAACCTTAAACAAGCAAGCTTCAACATGTTTTTTTTCTTCAAAAATGCAGTCTTGTGTAACAAGCATGAATACAGGCCATGGTGGTTGAGTGCATTACTTCTCGTTTTCTTGAAAAGTGTTGTACCTGCTAATTCTGGGTCTTTCTGAAGCTCTCCATAAGTGCGCTCTTGGACAACTCTTCTGTTCTTTTTCTTTACAACTCTGTCAGAAATGTTTACTATGCTGACTATGAAGCAGCCAATTGAATGAATGGATATACCATATTATTAAGTGAGACTGTGTGTGTGTGTGTGTGTGTGTGTGTGTGTGTGTGTGTGTGTGTGTGTGTGTGTGTGTGTGTGTGTGTGTGTGTGTTAACATCTGAAATACAAGATCCACACACAAACCATTGATAAGGGGATTTGCATACATTTCCATACCAAGCATCTCTGTCTGTAGCAAGTGATGTGTAATTTAAATATTGATAAGGTGCGTCAATGAGGTGGCTGATATGTAAATAAACGCAGCTACTTGGAAAAACGACACGTAGTATGTTAACATGATGTGTGTTTTCATGCGCTGTCAGTTTGTGTCTGATTATTAGCCCTGCTGGATGTTCACTTCAATTTGTGTGTGTGTGTGTGTGTGTGTTAGGTTGAAAACTGGTGCCCTCGTCTGCCGTGGAGGATTAAGAACATTGGGGATGACTTGGACAGGAAAACACAGGTGTGTGTGTGTGTGTGTGTGTGTGTGTGTGTGTGTGCGTGCGTGCGTGCGTGCGTGCGTGCGTGTCAGTGGGTTACAAAATAAATTATTTGAAAGTAGATTAGCCTAATTTAAAATAAACAATATAATATTTTCTTTTATAAATTCATCACAAATAAAATACAGATTTATTTTTCCACATTTTATTAAAAATAGTTCTGTATTTAATTTTGCACAAAACATGCAAATATATACAAACATTATTTTTTACATCATTCAAAGGTTTACTTCTAATGTAATCATTTTCTTTTTAAAAAATTACCATAATGGTAATATTTCATTTATAAATTATTTATTTATTTATTTATTTATTTAATTAATAAATCATTTGTTTTATTAGTAAGCCTATAATAAAAGAATATATATTCAAAAAGGCTGAATTAAAAAGGCTGATTCAAGACATGTAATGTTTCAAGCACACCAGCTCTACATCAGTCAGTGTTCATCCCAGTATGTTGTTTCTTTTTGTACACTTCCGGATCACATGATCCCACACATTGTATCGCAAAAAGAAAATAGAGAAAATACACATTACTAAAATATATTAAAATTATTTATTGAATATAATAAAAGATTTAGATAAAAAGTTATTTACATTTTTGTATGTTATTTTATGTTAGTGATTGGTTGGATTGCGTTGTGGTTTAATTGTTAAATGAAAATCTGGGGATTAATATAGTCTGTAGAATGTGACTACAGAACTTCCACACAAATTAATAAATACATGAATATATTATAGGTAAATTAAATGATGTCCAAAAACATGAGGCTTTCATAAAAAAATCCAAATGATCATATGAATTTATTAAAATTGATATACTAAATCAATATAAATACATAAATATAAACTCAATACATTGTTACATATATACATATATATATATATATATATATATATATACACACACACACACACACACACACACACACACACACACACACACACACACACACACACACAACTGAAGTCAGAATGATTAGCCCCCATTTATTTTTTCCCCCTAATTTCTGTTTAAAGGAGAGAACTTTTTCAGCACATTTCTAAACATAATAGTTTTAATAACTCATCTCTAATAACTGATTTATTTTATCTTTGCCATGATGACAGTAAATAATATTTGACTAGATATTTTTCAAGACACTTCTCTACAGCTTAAAGTGACATTTAAAGGTTTATAATTCTGACTGTGGTTTCTTTAATCTAGGAGAAACTAAACAGGAATAGAAATCATCACCTTAGTCTCCATCTGTCTGTTCTCAACTCACTTTAAATGTGTGGATTATTTTTTTTCACAGTTGGAGGTCCGCACAAGTTTTGACGAGTTGTATCGCGTGATGTCGCGGCGTGAGGAGTTTCGCTGGATGATGCTGCGGATCAAGCGGATGGAGGAGCCGTGGGTCAGCGCCGTTCGCTCACTTGCCAACAAACAAAACCTCCACCACCGCAAACGCAAGAAGGTGAGGCTAAACATAAAACTGTGTAAAAAAAAAATCATCATCTATGGTAATGTTGCTGCTGTTGTAGTTTTTAAGGAATATTACACAGTTTTGGAAAATCTACTCATTTTTAACAGTTAAACAGTTTAGTTCAGCAGATCTCCAGGTCTGGCGGAATTTTAGCTTAGCTTAGCATAGATCATTGAATCTGATTAGACCATTAACATTTCAGAACATTCAAAAAAGTTTTTAGGTAATTTTTCTATTTAAAGCTTGACTCTTTTGTTAGATCATGTAATAAGACCAGCGGAAAATGAAAAGTTACTATTATTTTTTTTAGGCTGGCTACATACACTCATTTTGCCGTAATCCATACCTGTCAACTTTCTCATTTTTCCCGGGATTCTCTTGTATTTTACATGTCTATCCTGCTATCATCCTGTAAAGGATTTTTTCAGTATTTCTCATTTATTTTCAATCTTTCTATGAAGAGTGGCAATAAATATCAAAGAGCCGATCCTCCCTATACGCAACCCATACCGCCACAGCATCAGGGGACGCCCCTTGCTCTTAAATGTGAATCTGTTCGGTGCTTTTATTTAATTAAGGCACGAAAACACTGAAATAAATATAACAATGGCATGATTTCCCTTCCTTTCCATTACAGGCGCTGTCGTTTGTCCCGTGCACTCCTCAAAACAGACATTTCATGTAGCAGTGCGTCACTGTCAGACATGCTTCATAGTGATAAATAGATAGATCCGTTCCCAAACGGATTCTGTACATGCGATTTTTAAAGCGAAGCGAAAGTGGAGACACTGGGTTTTGGGTGCATGTTTGAACAGACATACACATAGTAATAATAATAAGAGGAATAGCGATAAAACAGCATCTTAACATGTCAATCTTGGTGGATTTTCTTTTAAACACAACCAGATTTGTCTTAAATTAGCATAAAAAGTTAGGAAAGCAGTCGAATACTTTCATTATAGATCTGTGCATTTTTAAAGTGACACCTCTGTTATTTAATGTAATCAAACGAAAAATCTAAACTAGAGATTCATTCGCTGCTGTTTAATCAGAATGTTTAAATTATACAGTGAAGAAAAGGATATTGATATGCCTTATTTTCACATCCCAATGTTAACAGGTATGCCGTAATCATAAATAAATCTGTTGCCGAACCATGGCTGCAGCAGGCGCAATGATTTTACGCAGCTTCTGAAAAAAGTCCCGAGCAAGATAACCAGATAACAGTAACTGTAATATCATTGCTGCTGCTTTTCTTAAAGAATCAGATGTCTTGTATGAATCACTTGAATGAATGATTCCAGACATTACATTGTAGGACAGTAAATTGTTGCCACCTACTGGCGGTTTTAATATAAGGTTTATTCATCCACAACAGAACTATCCTCATCAAAAAAGGTCCGATTGTTGCATCTGATACTGATTCTGCATGTCGTCCTTTAATAATGCAGTCAGTGTTCCCACCATTTTCCTCAATGAATAATTCACACAAATGCAGATGGACACCGTTTCCCATGAGCCTCTTTGCCTTTCTCTGTCACCTGCTGCCGAGCGGCGCAGCGGGGCCTGAAAACACACACACACAGACACACTTTCCTCTAGAGATCGCCTTGTGTCAAGCCTCAAATACCCTCAGTTGTTTAGAGCTTAAAGCATGTCACGGCTACCCATAATCCTCTGCTGATACTTATCCAGCACACAAATGCGACTCTGGAGATGTCGCTAAACACAATAACACTGAGACTAATGCTGTAAATGAAAAATATAAGACCCAATTAATCTGCTTTTGACATGATAGAGAATATAAATCACACTTTATTTCTTAAGATGTCACCGAGGTCACATTTACACAGAATGCAACAGTCTCTTCTCATTTACTTCTTTGCTGTACATGTATTAAACTTATCAGAAATTATGTGATGATTTAGACAACATTAAAGTTCACTTGATCAGAGATTTTAAGTAGCACTTAATGTGATAAACTCTTAAAAGTACAATGCAATATTTGCATTTTTGGTTAATTATGTAGCTTGTACACTACCTGACAAAAGTCTTGTCATCGATCCTAGTTGTAAGAGCAACAATTAATAAGTTGACTTCTAGTTGATCATTTGGAAAAGTGGCAGAAGGTTGATTTGCATCCCAATCGTCACAAATACTGCAGAAGACCTATTGGAACCCCCATGGACCCAAGATTTTCAGAGAAATCAGTCAAGTTTGGTGAAGGAAAAATCATGGTTTGGGATTGAATTCAATATGGGGGTGTGCGAGAGATCTGCAAGGTGGATTTCAAAATCAACAGCCTGAGGTATCAAGACAATTGTGGTCTTCGTTACATTACAAACCACAGGAGAGGGCAAATGCTTCAGCAGGATAGCGCTCCTCCACATACTTCAGCCTCCACATCAAAGTTCCTGAAAGCAAAGAAGGTCAAGGTGCTCCAGGATTGGCTGGCCCAGTCACCAGATATGAACATTATTGAGCATGTCTGGGGTAAGATGAAGGAGGTGACGTTGAATCCAAATAATATTGATGAACTCTGGGAGACCTGCAGGAACACTTTCTCTGCCATTGCAGATGACCTTATTAATCAGTTATTTGAGTCATTACAGAGATTTAGGCATGCAGTCCTCTAAGCTCATAGGAGTCATACACTATATAATATTAACTCTTTTTCCACTGCACCGAGACTTTATATTCAAGTATACTGTACTTTTTTCTTTTTTTTTTTGCTAAGTGACAAGACTTTTGTCTAAGCAAAGTCAGACCTTACTGTCCTAATTAATTAAAAATTAAGGCATGATCATATTTTATTTTGGTAAAATAAGCGTAATCTAGAGGCCTTTGCCTTTCATTTAAGCCACTTCTGATATCAAATGATCAACTAGAAGTCAAGTTATTATTTGTTGTTCCTAAAACTTGGATGGGTATAGTTATATAGTTATAATATAGTTATATTTTTGGAAAAGTATGTAATTTGTGTAATATATCTTAGTAATATAATTATATTATATTATATTATATTATATTATAATACATAATTGATACATTCACTATAATGGTATTTTAAATTCAAGACGCCTTCAGTTAAGGATAATCTTTATTATTTTAGTTATTTGTTGCAAACACTTTTTGCAAAAATTTTTGTGAAAAAGTAAGTATTATATTTAAACAAAAATTGTCAAATGAATGCCAATTATTAATTCATAGTATTTTAGTATTACTGAATATGAAATCCAATAATGTTACTTTTTTACAATTTATTTATCATAAATTATTTAAAATTGTGTAAGGAAAAAATATATAAATATATACAGCAATATACATGCTATAATTCTGTATAGAGGTTGTATTAAGGTTGTTTAAGTTCTTTTAATTTTCTTTTAAGTAATTACAATTATTTTAATCTATCGTTTATTATATTTACACAATTTATTTATTTTTCTTTTAACAAAAAAATATAGTTTTCCTTATTTAAAATGGTTATATGGTCTGTTTAAAAACAGATAGAAGATTGAATAGCTGTGTTTTGTTTCCAGATCCTGGTTCACCTGGGCTTGTTGACGAAGGAGTCTGGTTTTAAGATAGCGGAGAATGCGTTCAGCGGCGGTCCTCTGGGTGAGCTGGTGCAGTGGAGCGACCTCATCACCACACTCTACCTGCTCGGACACGACATCCGAATTTCAGCCTCCCTCGCTGAGCTCAAAGAGTGAGTCCAGCTCATCATACACACTCTCAGCACACCATACACACTCTCTACACACCACACTGAAACATCTGGAACCATACAATTAGACTTTTCTGCAGTATCTACAGCTGAAATCAGAATTATTGGCCCCCTGTTTATTTTTCCCTAATTTCTGTTTAACGCAAAGGTGTTTAAGATTTTTAATAACTGATTTATTTTATCTTTGCCATGATGACAGTACATAATAGTTGTCTAGATATTTTTAAGACACTTCTATACAGCTTAAAGTGACATTTAAAGACTTAAATAGGTTAATTAGGCAAGTTATGTTAATTAGGCAAGTTATTTTTATAAAAATAATTTGTTCTGTAGACAATTATATAAAGGGGCTAATAATATTGACCTAAAAATGGTTTAAAAAAATTAAAAACTGCTTTTATTCTAGCCAAAATAAAACAAATAAGACTTTCTCCAGAAGAAAAAATATCATAGGAGATACTGTGAAAAATCCTTTGCTGTTGAACATCATTTGGAGATATTTGAAGAAGAAAATTGAATTGAATTGAAAATTGAACACAGCTGCATATCTGCACTCATTCAGACCAAACGCTTAAACTGCAAACAATTTTGAATAATAAAACTAATACTGAAGCTGTAATTTAGTAATTATGATTTGTTTTTGTTTAATGTGACCCAGTTTGAAATGTTTATTTAATGTTTATGTTAATAATCTCACACCAAACTGATTTCGTCTTCTGTGAATAAAAAAAAATCACCTAAATCATTAAAACGCATTGCTTATTTGCCTAATAAATCAGCTATTTTGATTGAATCATTTGATTATTCGAATGATTCAATAAAGAATACATTAAGCAAAATATTCTATCATTTATTCTAATTAAAACATTTCATATTAGTTCTCTTTGGACTGCCTTTTTAAACCATTTATTTTACCAGGAAAACCTCTTGCGATTTGTATTCATCTTTTTATGAGTGTCCTTAATGGACAAACTATAAACATAGACAATATATCAAAGTAAATCATTACAAAATACAATTAAATTTAGTTTAATTTAAAAACTACATCATTTTACCACCAAAACATATCCTGGCTCCAGATAAAACGTGCATTAGCTGGAGTAACTGTGTCTGTCTGCAGGATCATGAAGAAGGTGATGGACAATAAATCCAGCTGCCCGACCAAAGGCGATAAAGTGGTGGAGCTGATTTACATCGACATCGTGGGCCTGGCGCAGTTCAAGAAGACCCTCGGCCCGTCCTGGGTCCATTATCAGTAAGTGCAGAAATGTTTTAGTTATGAGCCCGCGGATGTGAGCGGACTTTTGAGTTTTCCTTCACTTCCCCTGAGAAACGTGAGCTGGCCGGAGTGTGTAAAGCCGTTTTAAATGAGTCTGAAACCGATCTCCATCTTCAGGCTTTTCTTTAGGCTTATCTTGATCTCAGTGGAGTGAATTTGAGCTCATATTCTAGTCAGGATTGGGTTTATTCAGTACTCAGCGGCGTCTGGACGGATGTGATCTGTTTTCTGTGGTCGGACTTTGTTAGTTAGTCAAAGCCTTCTGACAAGAGATTTGTCAAATGTTACATAAATGCATGTAATGGTGTATTTTTTATGGATATGATTTTATAGTTATTAAATTTTAATGATTAATTTATGTATTGGTTATATTATATGTTAGCTATTATAAATGTGAATGTATTTAATAGTTTTTTTCACATTATATATTAGTTATTAATTTGTTAATTAGCTATATTATATGTATAGTTATAATAAATGTAAGTGTGTGTAATTATATATATATATTTACAGTTTTATATTCATTATGTTTTAGTTATTCATTAATATATTAGTTTTTAAATGTATATTATAAATCTTGTATTTATATATATTTTTATGATTTTATAATTATATTTAACTTAATAATTCATGCATTAGTTATATCATATGTTAGTTATTATAAATGTAAATGTAGATAATGGTTTATAGTTATTATCTTTTAATTATTTTATGTATTATATTTGATGTATAGTTATAAATGTATAGAATATATATTTTAATGATTTAATAGTTATATTTTAATTATTAATATATGCATTAGTTATATGCATAGTTATTATAAATGTAACTATACTATTATTTCTATATTTTACGATTTTATAATTATTATATTTTACTTATAAATATATTAACTAATCATTATATATATTTATTATAAATGTATATACTTATATATTTTAGGATTTTATAGTTATTTATTTCATATTTCGCATATTCATGCTTATATGTTAGTTATTAAAATGTAAATGTTGATAATTTAGTTGTATATTTTAGTTATTATATTTTAAGATTTTATTCATTTATTAGATGTATATTATATTTTAATTATTAATAAATGTATTACTTATATTATGTTAGTCATTATAAATGTAAATGTATATTATGCTGTATTTTTAAAGATTTTATTGTTATTATTAGGGCTGCAAGATACTGGAAAAATGTAATATAGCGATATTTTCATTTTCTGCAATTAGATATTGTGCTGTAAATACAGTTTCACAAGATAGTTGAATAGCAGTGTTTGACCATTTTCTGGTACAGTATTCAGCTACAGAAATTGAATGCAAATAATAAATCTTACTTTGCTTTAATTTCTAGTCCAAATATCTAAAAATCCTTGGATCAATGAAAAATATTGTTTTGTTTTCAACTTTGAAAGAAATAAGTCAGAATTAAGAGTTTTTCCTTAAAACGTCCAGAATTATCTGCTAGTAAGTAAAATAATCTTCTTCTCGCTTTGAAATGTAGATATTTGGACTAGAAACAAGACAAAAATTCTATGTAAGAAGAACTTTTTTTTTGTATTTTGTATAAATGCATTTCTGTAGCTTCTGGTCAGCTATAAATCAGACTCAACATTGTAAATATGCAAAGTGACTATTGCAGATGCGCACAATGCGATATCGATGCTGCAAGACTATATTGTTCAGCCCTATATGCTTATTAAAATGTCTAATAAGCAGTTATTATTAATAATAATAATAAACAAACCGTTAACTTTTGATTAAATACATTTTAAAAAGTTACGCTTTTATCAACATTTATTTAATTATTTATCAATTGTTGCTCTCAGTAATAGACATTTATTTCCTTATTTATTTATTTATTTATTTATTTAATTTCTCTTGTTTTTGATTGTACCTGTGAGCCTTAGTCAACATCAGAATGTTTTTGTGTATTAATTACATATAAATTATAGTGTATATGATACATTTGTAATGTACAAGTGTTGTTTTGTTACATTTGTCTTGTTTATGAAGATGAAATATTATGTGTTTAGTTAATAATCTGGTAAAAACACAACACACTTTTGCCGATTTGACCTTTTGACCTTTGTTTTTGAAGTACAGCCAATCAACAACGGTTAATATCAAATTATCTTGTTTACTCAGTTATTTTAACAACAAATCACTTTTTTCTTTCTTTCTGATGCTACACTTAAAGCAAAATTGGCTGGTTTTTGAAACTACTTATTTAAAATGAGTTGAAACAACACAATACTTGAGTATTTTTTGAGAACAGCATAATTATTTAGTGTTTGATCTACTTAAATTTTTAAAACAATTAAATGGGGCAGCTTGAAGGAATTGTGTGCACTCAAAAAATAATGTTTGCTATTTGTTCAATCTACTTATTTAAAATGAGTTGAAATGACCCAATTCATTTGCGACAACTTAATTGTTTTATTTTCAAGTCACTTAAATTTGTAAAAACGAACAAGTTGTCTTAAATTCTTCATGTTGTCCCAACACAAAAAGCAATCGTGTGGAACCCAGCATTTTTGACAGTGCATCAGCC